GAAAAATATTATGAATATAAAATTTTCCAGTAATAATTTCTTCAACAGGTGCACTAATGCTAAATTCACTCTCAGAGACGTTCAGATAATCTATCAATGACCAAGAAGTTGTGACTAATTCATATCCAACATATCAATTATCATGGGATCTGCATGCTTCCCAAATACATCTCCTCCTCTTGGGGCTATGGTCATTTCTGATTTTATGTTCATCATAATTATTTTTAGTATGCTATGGTCGTGTACCTACGAATATATGGATTCACTCCAATGGAAGATTCAAAGTAAAAAAAATAAAAAAGACGAAAGAACTTTTTGTGAGCAACAGAGATTAGTTATTTATTAGCAAGCGAGCAGTGCTTAAGTATCATTTTGATGCGTCCATACAGTGACTTCCTTTTTAACATTTTGGAATTTGGTGCTATTCTTGGGACGGAAGACTGTTCCAAGCTTTATGATGGGCGGAAGACTGTTCGAAGCACGTGTGTCAATGACTGAATGATATGCCAAAAATAGTGGTGTTGTGATGTGGAATACAAATAAGGCCCGACACTCAGCTACTATGTATCTTTATAATCTGAAAGTTTTGTGGTAGGGTGTCGTGAGATTTACGGGGCAATGAACAATTTATTTATTATATTTATGTTTTTGTTTCTTACTTTTTCTGGAATATTCATCTTAACAATATTTTGCATTGGGTTTGAACTCGCATTATGCAAGAATATGTACATTATACGTCTTCAGAAGTCTTTTCCATGAATGCTTTAAGAACTTCACTATTTATATTCTATTCAAACTAGTGTTCTCAGGATCATTGTAAAGTGGGATGCGTAGGTGATGCTGCTAAGACACGAAGCTCATGGCTGCCGAAAAGGACATTTTGCGTGAGAGCTGACGGCGATGTCAGCGCTGTGAGAAGGGCACACTTTCTCTACTTTGCTTTATTGCCAATGTCTTGAGCTTGGAGCTGCGTTGCAGCTTCGGACGAAGAAAGGAATTCAGCTCCTGCCAGACGCACTCGAGATGCATCGTCGCTCGTCCTGCATTCAGATTGCTCCACTGAGGGCGACGTCCCGAGCCACAGCTCCTGGCCGGTGAGATACGCTGCAGTGTCATGGCATCCACATTTGCCCATGAACGACTGCGACTGTGATAATTTTCATTCTCGTCTTTATTTCCTTCACTACTACGAGTGAAGTAATTCAACGAGTTTTGTTAGACTGTATGTCAACGGGAAAAGAACCAAAAACAAACCTCGTCATTAGAAAAGTGCTTACTCATTATGTTTTGCGCGAATCTTCGATATTTGATGAGGCTAGGACATTGCAACAGCAGCGTCGTGGCCAGAAAGGTATTAGAGTAGGGGAATACCGATAGAGGAGGATGGAGACCGGCTACACAGATGAGTCAGATTCAGCTATCTGGAGGATAATTCTAACGCTTGATGTTCTGTTTTGTGCGTTCCCGTAGTGTCTCCGATCAACAGAGGGCGAATGCTTCTGCACCCTTTCTAACAAACGGCCGCGGTGAGCGCGCGATCTTCCATCTGCTTCCTCACTCCTTACACACACGCGCACTCACACATGCATGCACTGTACTACCAGACGTGGCAAGAGAGCAGACGGAAGCTTCGAGTTTATTCCCGCTGGGGGAAATACTTGGAATGGGGGATCCCCGTAAGTCGACGCGTAGTTAACATCGCAGCTCACGTTACAGCGAGGGGGAGGTGCATCGTCCCCTCCCGGATATAATGCACTACATTCGCTCACCGATCAAAGTAATTGGCGCGTCTGAAAACAATAAAAACCCATTCACTCCTTATTAGAATGTACGGACTAGAATAGAAGAGCAAACTTCAATTTCCAGAATAAAGAAATCTCTCATTGAAATCGTTGAGATCTTTAATTGACAATTCTTCTCTCGCGGAATAAGTTAATAGCAAACTCATGGTGTGGTAAACACATTCTTAAACTCAGGAGATGATATATAGGCTAAAATTCCATAAGGAAGCACTACTAATATACAACACAGTGTCCTCAAAATACTATGTGCATGCCTAAATAATGGCTTACGCTTTTGAGAAAAATACAGGAATATACGCATTATTTATGTTGAAAAAAGGTTCAAGTTAGCAAATCTTTGTAGAGTGTAGGATAAATGACATATACCAAATTTCTGGAATTACCATATTGGACGGCATTACTTCCTTCCATTAAACATTTTAACTTCGAAATGACTGACATTCCTGTAAATGTACTGTTGCCAACGCATTCAAATATTTAATTTCACACAAAACATACCATAGACAAGGCTCTATTTGCTACAAAATATCCAACGAATACAAAACCTTTTCAAAATTGTTAGTCATTACAAAATATTTATTGTGTTATTTTGTATTTTCAAATTGTTATTTTAACGTAACAAAAATGTGTCACACATCATTTAATAAAATTTGATAAATAAATAAAATCTGACTAACAAACAGGCCAGATACCACGCGTGATCTTTCCATAGTCTTCCTTGTTCAATCCACTCTCTTCACTTACACACACACACACTTACACTTACATGCACTACACAACCACACATGTCAGAAGAGCAATCGAAAGGTTAGAGTTCCTCCCGACAATCCCGTTAGAGGAGATGCCTGGAGAAGGAAATCCTGCACAAGTCGACGTATCCGGAAACATCAATAAGTAAAAAAATTAATTAATTAAAAAATAACGAACTAAATGAATGTGTGAATGAAGCACAGGAGAGAAGGGCCAGCGCCACTCGGGGCGCGCGCAGCGGGCGCGAGGCGCAGGCAGTGGCGCTCCCACGCGCTCCTCCGCCCGCGGGCGCCCCGGCGGCGGCGGCGGCGGCGGCGGCAACGCGCGAACAACGCGGACCAAGAAGCGCGTCATTACCCACACGCAACGACAGCGCGTTGGCGCAACGCCGCCGCGCTTGCAACCCCCTCTTCTGCTCCACGCCCCGCCTCGCACGCTTGACCCGCTTCTCCGCTCCCCGCCTCGCCCCGCCTGCCCGCCTCGCCCCGCCTCGCCCCGCCTCGCCCCGCCTCGCCCCCGCCCGCTCGCCCGCCCTCCCGCGCCCCGCTCGCCCGCTCGCTCGCCTCCGCCCCGCTCGCCCGCCTCGCCCCGTCTCGCCCGCTTCGCCTCGCCTCGCCCTCCTCCCTCCGCCTCGTCACTCGCCCGCGCCACTCACTCGCCGCCTGGCCGCGCCTCTCCCGCTTGGACCGACTCGCCCCGCCCCGTCTCGTCTAGCCCCGCCTCCCTAAATTAGCACTACGTAATTTATGGACGGCTCCATTCCTAGTCGATTCTTCATAGATCCAAATGTTTCGTTAAGGCAATTCTTAGAGAATACTGTAGAAATTTACATTTATAGAGAAAGAAATGCTAAGTAGTCGAATCTATTCACATAATTTCATGGATTTCGCGAACACTAAAAAAATTTCTCTTAAAACGTGACATGAGTTTTTAGCGCTTCAAATCCAAAAGTTGTATTCGTCCTTGCTGACCATGAACGAAGGAAAGACTTGCCTGCTTTGCTCATACCATCTATCCTTTTATACGGTGTAAAATAAAACGTCCGCTTTCAAGAAATTCTAGAAAATTGCATGAAAATTCTCAGTAACTGAAATGAGGGAGATCATCCACTATAGTATGAATAAGGCAAGTGAACTTGTTTCACATGCAGAGAATGCCTAAGTAAAATGTGTGCTAATATTATTACATTTTTACAACGATATTCAATAGCACTTCTTAGGTAGCATTTTAAACAAATTATTACCAGCAAATAAATATGTTTCGATACAAGTTTTTGCGTAGGATGAAAATTATGTTTGGTGCATAAAACCCACACTGAAGAGAAAATAGTAGATTATCAATGTCATTGAGAGAATTAATGAACCAATGTTAATCTACTATAACATCTCTTGTATTTAATTTACGAATCATATGAAATACAGAAGACATGAGCCAGATGTGTTTTCCCTTTACAGGGATTAATATTTTCATCACATTCTTCAATATTGAATCTTGAACAATCATAAAACTTATCGCAGGCCTATTTGAAAGTCCGCATTTAGATCGAATATTCATTCTGTGTCTTCTGGGTTTGCGAGAGATGTTCAGTTACGTTGAGAGAAAATTTCGGCTGTGGAAACGGGATTTTCAGCACGTGAGTGTGAGGAATGAGGGAGGTCTGATGCGTCCGTCCCGTTACCTCTTCTCTCGGACACGAATTTTGAGCTGAAGGTCGTTCCCGTATTGGAAATGACGAAGTATTGCTCACGTTTAGTATATACTTTCTGTTAAAGATTGGAACCCTTCAAACGAAAGAATAATTGAAAGTAAATAGAGGAGAAGTGGGAACCGGGTCGAACAATATAATAACTGCACCATTAAGTCGAGAGTGCAGCTAATCGATTAAAGCAACTGGTGATAATACGACCTACTTTCCTCGTAGACTTTGCTTTCGTTCAGGTGATAGATTCTGGCCGGAAGGAGTCTTCTATTAACGCAGCTTTGCGACTTGAGTGAAAGTGTTGCGAACGCTTCATCTCTTTAGGCCCAATTTCCGATCACTCGTCTCAGCACGCAAGGCACACATTGTCTGCGTCGCGGGGCTCCACTCGAGTCCATAGCTTACCTCGTTCATCTTTACACCATCTGCCTAGTGACGAGAGAAGCGCGTGTCGTGCAGAGAAAGCTCCGCAGGGATTACGTGAGGGCGTCGGCGGGGGCGGGGGCGGAGGCGGGGCGGAGGCGGGGGAGGCGGAGGCGAAGACTTCTGCGAAGAGGAGACGAGAGGAGAGGAGAGGAGGAGGAGGGTCGTCTTGAGCGAAAGGAACGAAACGGCGACATCCAGAGGCGCGCGCGCGCCCGCGGCCCCCGCCCCCGCCCCCACCCCCGCCCCGCGCCGGCGGCTGGCGCCCGGGGCTGCGTGGCGCGTGCCGGGGCCGGAGGGGGGGCGCGTGTGAGGGTACGCCGCGAGTATTGTTGTGCAGCGCGGCTGGCGGGTGGGGGTGGCAGAGGACGCCGTCGGCGGGTATAAAGTTGCCGGGGCTGCCGGCTCGGACATCAGTCAACTCTCAGTGATCTGCTCAGCTCTACAGCAGCAGCAGCACCAGCAGCCTTCGCCCAGCCCAAGAGGAACCTTACTGTTTCGCCATGAGAACGGTGCGTACTGCGGTCGCGACTTCGAGCCCCGCCCGCGCCCCACGGACAGTGATCGTAAATCGCAGGCGCTCGGTCCCTAGTGCTGTGAAAGTTGCCTTTACGAAGCTCTAGACGCACGACTGCGGTTGGAAAGCGAAGACACACTCATTTCTTCCGCAAATGGATTTCCACTTCCAGCACTCATTCAATTTTAACTATGAATTTCGTTTCGTTCGTACTTCGGTTCTAAGCAAAGAAGGCTTTTCAAGCCACGGAGTTTCATTTCCTGAACAACGGTAATGGTGATTAGGAGAGAAGTCCTCCCGCTGTCCGAGGATCATAGTCCAGCATTTGCTATTGTAGAATGACATAACTCAGTATCAGTAATAAAAGAAACAAGTATCAAGTAACTCGTTTGTTTTCGTGAACACAGCAGATAAACGCCCGGAGGTCGGAAATTCGCCAGCTTCGTCTGTGTTCTCCGGCGCGTGGCTTCGGCAGCCGGGCGGAACAATCGCGTGGATCTCGTGGGCGGAGGCGCGCCCGCGGGCCGCGCACGTGCACGAGCACGTGGACGGAGGGCTGACGGGGGCTGACGGGGGATGACGGGGGAGCGCCGGCGGACGCTCTCGAGGCTCAGAGCCCCCGGGAGCACTTCGGCAAGCAGCCGAGTCGCTTCGGACGGCAAACAAATGTTCAAACATCTCAATTCGCAAAAACCGTCCAGCTAGTGCTGGAATTATTTTCAAAGAATTGTTCGTTCGTTTGTTCGCGAAATATCCACTGAGACTTTGATCCAGCGTACAAGCTTCTTATATTCTTCAATTTGTTTCCGATTATTCCTTCTTGGAACATTTCTTCTGCTATGTACAATGCTCCATAAAGTCAAAATTCATTAGGAAAAGAATATAACGTATTTACCGCATTCACGTTTTTGAAATTTCTTCTTCTTAGATCATACACTTTTAGAGAGGCAATTTTATAAAACTCATTTCGAATTTTCAATACTAGAAGACAAAACATCTCCCAAGATCAATATCACATAATCTAAAATGTATTCTACAGTTGTTCTATGAAATCAGATATCAAGTCTTCTGGCTGAATTGAGAAATTGAACGAAGAAACGATTGAAAAATGAAACTTGAAAAGAGTGTTTGAAATAAGCCAGAGATACATGTATTGTTAAATATCTAAACTGCAGGTCCTTAATGCAAAGGTTTTTTCATTTAAAAAGGTTCATTACCATTCACAGACTAATTGCTCCTATTTTCAATTATCTTTTACGTCTCAATTTAATTTTGAAGCAAGTCGAAGAAAATTAAAAAGTGTACTTCGTGTCAGAATTACATTTTCTTCAATAATTATTTTCAGAAATTATTAAGCGTTTTGAATTTTAGATGTGTCTGCAATTAATGATTTGGAGCACATCAATGTAGATTTATATAGTACTTTGCAAGTCTATTGAGATAATTGTCCACGTAGCTAAGTTTGAACGGCGAAGGTCCCGACTAACCAAGTAGAGAGATAATTACAAAATCAAACAATAACCCAAAATCACCAGAGCGGGGTACATTCGTTGTTGGAATTGGCGAGTGCGCGGGCTGCAGGCAAGGGGTCTCTGTGTGGCAGATCGTCGCCGTCCTCCTGCTGGTGGCCGCCGCGGCAGCGCGGCCGCAGGGCGCCGCCTCCGGCCCCACGCCCATCCCCATCCTGCGCTACGACAACCCCGGCGTCAACTTCGACGGCAGCTACCAGTGGGCGTAAGTACTTCCACGCACTCCCTGCATGAGACTGGACAGGCAGACAACAGTAGATACATTTTATTCTCTTTCTCTTGACAATTCCTTTGAGATGCAGTAGTACTTGGAACGTGGAATATTAAATAACAACAATTGTTTCAAATCATTGTTAGTTTTTCTAAAGATATATTACTCTTCTGAATGGAACGTCATATCTAAATGTAATAGGGAAAATAGGATAGGAATTTTAATTGTCCATGTTTCTTGAAAATACGATAGAAATTAATGTATTCCAAGGAAGAATATTTATCTATTTAGAAAATTAGTACCTGGCCTTGTCCTTTCGGAATCTATGGAATTTCGGCAGAGCGGTTCAAGGACATAATTAGGGGCGCCGTGGGCAGGGGGCTTCGATTGGGGTCCAGCGGTGACCGTGAGCGCCCTTGGGGCCGCAGAGTGCGCCGCGGCGGCGCTGGCGGCGAGGGCGCGGCGAGGGCGCAGCGAGGGCGTGGGCGTGGGCGGGCCGTTCTGGGATTCCCGCCCCCGTCCCCCCGGCGCGTGCTGCTTCCGCAGGCGCCGCGCGTCCTCGCGGCGTCATCTTGTCGCGCCCGCAGCGGCTCCACGCGCTGGGAATGGAAGCTGCGCGCTCCTCTCGCGCTTTGCTCAAACACGGCTTTAAGGCGCTTGCGCATGCGCAGCGAGGAGGCAGAGATGCGGCCTTGAGCGGCGCGACGTCCAATATCCATCAGAGCCCCCGACGGCGGAGCCGCCCTCGAGTGCGTAGAGCTCTCGAAAACAGCGCCTTGCTTTATGTGTACGAGCATTAAACATCCCATTCGTCTTTCTCGCCAGTCAAGCACCCACGATGACTTCCCCATTATGCGTCATGAATTTTAAACATGTGCGACCCTTTCTATTACCTAGATACTAGCAACGCGATTTGCTTCAACGGGTGTCGTCAGCATTTAACGATTATGTGTGTCGAAACATTCATGTTATGTATGAAGAGATGTCTTTGGTGATAAAGTGGCACACGTTTAGTAACCCCAGGGCTTTTCAAATACTGTCCGTCGGCTGTTAAAGGTATCTGATAAATGTGTTAGGTCAGAGAAGGGGATAGCCTAAACGGCGTTTATTTTGCTTTTCTTTCTCACGGCCTCCGCAAACACGTTTCTTCAGGAAAGACCCGAGGCGTCCCCTCGGAATCATTTCTGCGACGATCGTCAAAGTTAGAAATAAAAGTTTTTTCTCGTAAAGAGAAAGCCTCTTCGCTTCTTAGAACATCGTTTGCTAAGCAATTAACGCATCATTCTGAGAGGCCACGTACGAAAGCGGTTGCACAATCAATGTCACTACAACAAATCGCAGAATGTTAGCCAAAAGAGTAAATTAAGACTTATCATGGAAATTCCGATGGATGATCAAATGGATAATTGATAGTTCTCGATGGGGAATGCAAACATTTCTATTGAGCTAGTGGGAATAACATTGTTTTGAATCAAAAGCGAAAAAAACACTTTCGTGACACGACATAGAAGCAGAGGTGACTCTCAAAGTTACCTTTTTGCAACAACACTTGTTATAGTGTGCAGTAGGGTGCACCATGGCGCCGAGTCCCCGTGCCCTTTGACCCCGCGTGAGGGAAGAGTCGCCGCGGGCGCGGGGCAGAGGTGAGGAGCGATCGTGAAGCAGGGGGGGGGGGGGGTGCCAGGCGTTCCTGCTGCTTGCACGAAGCTGGCGGCCCGCGGCCTCTGCCGCCTTGCGCCCTTACGTACAACTTCCTCACTGCCCCGGCCCGCGGCGACTCTTCCCTCACCGGGTCAAGGCACGGACTCGGCGCCATGGTGCCCCTACTGCACACTAAAAATGTTGTTTGCAAAAGGCTAAACTTTGAGAGTCACCTCTGCTTCTATGTCGTTCACGAAAGTTGTTTTTTTCGCTTTTGATTTCAAAACAATGTTATTCCCACTAGTCAATAGAAATGTTCATTCCCCTCGAGAACTATCATTATCCATTTGATCATCCATCCGAATGTTCCTGATAAGTCTTAATTTACTTCTTTGGCTAACATTCTGCGATTTGTGTAGTGACATTGATTGTGCAACGCTTTCGTAGCGTGGCCTCTCAGATGCATGCTGTTAATTGCTTAGCAAACCGAGTTCTAAGAAGCGAAGAGGCTTTCTCTTTACGAGCAAAACTGTTTATTTCTAACTTGACGATCGTCGCAAAATGATTCGAGGGGACGCCTCGGTCTTTCTGAGAGAAACGTGTTTGCGAGGCGTCAGAGAAAGAAAAGAAAAATAAACGCCGTTTAGGGCTATCCCTTCTGCTGACCTAACCATTTATTCAGATACCTTTAACAGCGACGACAGTGATTTGAAAACCCTGGGTTACTAAAACGTTGTGCGCACTTTTTATCACCAAGACACTCTTCATACATAAATGAACTGTGTTCGACACACATAATTCGTTAAATGCGACGACACCCGTTGAGCAAATCGCGTTGCTAGTATCTAGGTAATAGAAATGGTCGCCACATGTTTAAAATTTCATGACGCATAATGGGGAAGTCATCGTGGGTGCTTGACTGGCAGAAAGACGAATGGGATGTTTAATGCTCGTACAACATAAAGCAAGGCGCTGTTTTCGAGAGCTCTACGCACTAGGCGGCTCCGCCGTCGGGGGCTCTGATGGATATTGGACGTCCGCGCCTCAAGGCCGCCATCTCTGCCTCTCGTTGCGCATGCGCAAGGCCTTAAAGCCGTGTTTTGACAAAAAGCGCAGATGAGAGCGCGCAGCTTCCATTCCCAGCGCGTGGAGCCGCCCTACCGGCGCGACAAATGGACGCAGCGGGGACGCGGCCGCCTGCGGAAGCGCACGCGCGGGGAGGGGGCGGAATCCCAAGAACGGCCCGCCCACGCCCTCGCCGCGCCTCCGCCAGCCGCGCCGCGGAGCTCTCTGCGGCCCAAAGGCGGCGCACGGTCGCCGCTGGACCCCAATCGAAGCCCTGCCCAACGGCTCCCTAATTATGTCTTAACCGCTCTGCCAAAATTCCATAGATTCGAAAAGGACAAGGCACGGTCATAATTTTCTAAATAGATAAATATTCGTCCTTGAATACATTAATTTCTATCGTATTTCAAGAACTGGACAATTAAAAGTCCTATCTATTTCCGCCTAGTTACATTTAAGTATGACTTCCATTCAGAAAGATAATATCATTTAGAAAAACTAACATCTTGATTTGAACATTGTGTATTTAAATATTCCACGGTTCCAAGTCTACTGCATCTCAAAGAATTGTCAAGAGAAAGAGAATAAATGTATCTACTTTGTCTGCCTTCAGTTATGCAGGAGTGCGTTGAGAATATTACGCCCACTGGTAAAGCTGGCGTCGAAGTTGAGCCGTGGGTTGTCGTGCGCAGTGGGGATGCGTGGGCGGAGGCGGCGCCCTGCGGCCCCCGCGCTGGCCGCGTGCGGCCACCAAGCAGGAGGACGGCGACGATACTGCCACACAGAGACCCTTGCTGCAGCCCGCGCACTCGCGAATTACCACAACGAATGTAACCCGCTCTGGTGATTTTGGGTATTTGTTTGATTTTGTAATTACATCTCTTACTTGCGTTAGTCGCGGACCTTCGCCGTTCAAACTTAGCTTACGTGGACAATTATCTCAATAGACTTGCACAGTACTATATAAATCTACATTGATGTGCTCCAAATCATTAATTGCAACACATCTAAATCAAAAAGCTTAATAATTCTGAAAATAATTATTGAAGGAAAATGTAATTCTTCACGAAGTACCACTTTTAAGTTTCTTCGACTTGCTTCAAATAAATTGAGACGTAAAGATAATTGAAAATAGGAGCAAAATTAAATTAGTCTGTGAATGGTAATGAACCTTTTTAATGAAAAAACTCTTGCATTAAGGACTGCAGGTTAGATATTTAACATAACATGTATCTCTGGCTTATTTCAACACTCTTTTCAAGTTTCATTTTCATCGTTTCTTCGCTTCAATTCTCACAATTCGCCAGAACGACTTGATATCGTGATTTCATAGAAAACTGGCTAGAATACATTTTAGATTATGCTGATATTGATCTTGGGAGATGTTTTGTCTCTAGTATATTGAAAATTCGAATGAGTTTTTAAAATTGCTCTCTAAAGGTATTGATCAAGAAGAAAGAAAGTTTCAAAAAACGTGAATGCGGTAAATACGTTTCTATTCTGTTCCTAATGAACTTTGAACCTTTATGGAGCATTGTACATAGCGAAGAATGTTACCAAGAGTAATCGGAAACAAATTGAAGAATATTAAGAATGCTTGTACGCTTGATGCAAATTCTCAGTGGATATTTGCGAACAAACCAAGGAACAATTTTTGAAAAATAATTCCAGACTAGCTGGATTGGTTTTGCGAATTGAGATTGTTGAAACTTTGTTTGCCGTCGAACACTCAGGCTGCATGCGAAGTGCTCCGAGGGGCTCTGAGCCTCGGAGAGCGTGCCGCCGGACCCGCTCCCCCGTATCCGCCCCGTCAGCCCCGCGCCTCCGCCCTGCTCGTGCACGTGCGCGGCCCGCGGCGGCGCTCGCCCAGAGATCCAGCGATTGTTCCCCGGCTGCCGAAGCAACGCCGGAGAACACAGACGAAGTGCGAATTTCCGACTCCGGGCCGTTTATCGCTGTGTTCACGAAAAACAAACGAGTACTTATACTTGTTTCTTTTATTACTGATACAGTTATGTCATTCTACCAAAGCATGCTGACTATGATCCTCGAAGCGGAGGATTCTCTCCTAATACCATTCCTATGTTCAGGAATGAAACTCCGTGGCTTGAAAAGCTTCCTTTGCTTATGAACGAAAGTACCCGAATGAAAACCGAAAATTCATAGTATAAAATTGATATGAGTGCTGGAAGTGGAAATCCTTTGCCGGAAGAAATGATTGTGGTTCGCTTTCCAACCCGCACTCGATGGTCTAGAGCTTCGTAAAGGGCAACTTTACACAGACTAGG